AGAAAATCTTGTGGGTTGTTATTAATTCTGTACCGAATATACAATACTGAACTGCCAGGAAAAAAATTTATTCATAATAAAAAGCAGAAAAAATTTCTAGCTATTCTGTACAGTAACTGTTAACAGTGATATTTGACTCCAGTCCTCTAAAAACAAAATAAAAAAAGATTGGTATCCTCTCAAGCAAAAGTGTTTTGGACAGTCAATGCTATATAAATATGCAGTGAGCTGCAGGCCAGAGGCTGGATTTATGCTATGTGACTTTATCACTTGCTGCCGAATAATCACAGATTATATATATGAAATCTATCCATTTGTGATGTGTTCTTTAAGGACCCTTGGGGTTTAAAGTGGCACCCCAATGTGTTGCCAGTCCCCTGTCTTTCTGGCTATCACCAGTTACTGGTGCTTTTCCTATCTCCATTCCACCTAGCCCATATAGCTGAAATTCAGCTATGCCACAGAAAATGGTGGGAGAGGGAGCACAGACCACGCGTTGATAGATCTTGCTACCTAGGTTTGTAAGTAAGTTAAGTTCATCACATCTATAGTATAGGTGCTATGGGTGTCTTTGTTACCAAGAGAAGTTAAAATCCCTGGACAGATTAAGGATAAAGTACAAATAAAAGTACTGAACCACAATATTCAAAACAGCTGTAAAAATGAAAGGTGAACAACAGTTAATCTGCTTACACTAAAGCTGAAACAGGAAGGTCTCTGTCTTACCCAGCTGACTTGCCACCTTGACAAAGTGACAGTTGGGCATTCACTCTTTGTGCGTGCTTCAGGTTTCTGCTCATATCAGTTAAACAGCCCTTCTCCAGAGAGTTCTCTACCAGGGAACACTCTGTCTACATGGAATCTCTTATTTAGGTCAGTTTCCAGGCAACAAAACAAGCAAACAGAGGAGAAACCCTCTGGAAATCCAAACTTAAAATGTTTCAGGAACTCTTTGCTCTTTTTGTTCTCGCCTTCAGAAGCACTTTCTAAGCAAAAGTCTTGCTCAATACTTAAAAAGGCACTTTACAAACATAGTGTGATTTCCAAAGTTCCATTGCTCCTAACAAGATGACATATTTTGTTAGTGTGGTATCCAGGGAATGAGACAGTGTTTTATAAAGTATATGAACTGGGCAGCTGTTAATGACATAAGCTGAAGCTGTCTGCCCAGTTTTGTTCAACACAGAAATGGAACTAAACTAGTTTTAATCACATACAAGTTTTTCATATGAAGTGACTTCATGGGCTGAGACATGGTCCCTGGAACATCCTAACCAAACTGGCATTGGCAGAGGTGTGTAGGCAGAGATTGGGAAGGCCTTGCTGATTATCTTTTGAAGGGTCATGATGGAGTCAGCAAGGTCACAGGGGCCACATTCTTTGCAATGGCTAGTGAAGCCTAAAGGATTTATGAATAGCAATAGAGCACCTTTAAATATGCATTTTATAAATGTTACGATACGTTGTAGCTGAGTATTTATTACAGTGTGACATTAAGCTAAAAGACAACATGCATTAAAGAGAAATTAACATTTAGTGCAATACAAAGCAAAATCCATGGGGGGTAAAGCCATTAAACATAGAAGTTTAGTTGATGCTTTGCAAATGACAGGCTTTTAATGAGCTTGAAGAGGGAGGAGAATGTGTAACAGGCTCAGAGCCGTGGCACAGACTTTTCAAGTAAAGCACTAGCACAGCTTCTTCTGAGAGAAGCACAACCAACCATCTCGCAGCTTGTGGGACTGCATTTTATTGTAATGCAGAGTTCGTAACTAGGTCCCAGCCATAAATTCTGATATCACTGTGAAAAAATAAGCTAATACTTTAAAAATGCTGGGAATCTTGGAGTTCTTTCTTAAATAACTTGGTTAAACCAGTGTGTTCTTTATTGTTTTTCACACACAGACTCAACATCCAGAATATAGACTCTGAGCCTGTGGAATCCAAACCTGACAACATCCTCTGATCTGCTTTAACTCAGCCATTCTTTCACATGTGTTTACGTGTAACTGTTTGATGTGGATTTCTAGAACATGTGGAGGTGGGAAAGGCAAACTAATGCCCTCTCTGGGGAAAAAAAAAAAAAGGAGGTGGATCTTCCATCTGATCTTAGGGGGAAAAAACCCCAACCCACTGAAATGAAGCCAGGATCCTGTAGTAGGAGCGTAGTCAGAGGACAGCTTGCATGTAAGCAGTAAGAAAGCCATGGGGAGCACAAATGCTTCCCATTCCTCTTCAGTCTACCAACTCCAGTCACCTTCCTTTCCTGACATAAAACTGAAAAGTGTTTTAGTAACAGGTTTGGTGAGCAATTCCTTCCATTGCACCTCTTTACAAATAGCTTCCTGCTTTTTCCTTGGAAACTTCTCTTTGACTTTGAAATCTAGCTGCTGAGTCCCACCTAGCTTTGTTCCTCACCTCTGTGTTCATTTCCCCCCTAGTTTTCAACCTAGTCTCTTGCACCTTTTCTTTCTGTGCCTAGCCCACCTTCATTTTCTCTTCTTTTTACTGCTTTGCACCTGGCCACAGAGCCTGCCAGGACAAGCCAGACCTAAGGCAGCCTGGAAGTGCAGCTCCCAGTACTGCCCAGACATAAGCACCTCTGCCAGCACTAGGATGACGGGAAAAAAATAGCAACCTACACCACTGACACCACTCAAAAATGGGGAGTGGGTGAGGTATGCCATGGGAGGAAGGTGTGGATGGGATGGAAATGGGAACCTCACCTGATGGGCCAGCTCCTTTGCAAAGTCGCTTTGTCCAAAGCCAGCGAGGAGGAATCAGGCAGGCCCTCAGTCCACAGATGTGACAGTCCCTGTGCAGGCAAACTTAGCCAAGCCACTGTAGGCTCTTGGTTTCTGGGCATCCCGAGACTGCTGCTCCCCACTTCTTCTGTTGCATTTGTAACCCCATAGCAAAAGGTGGTCACCTCCTGGGAACAGGGTCAGGCTGGAAAAGAGGGTCTGGACCTCTCCTGGCTCCTCCTCCCAGCACTGGGAGGAACAGGGAACACTACACAGCACAAAAGGAGCCACAAGCCCCTACTAGTTGAAGCAGCACTACTCAATGCTTTTGCAACAAAAATTAATCTGGCCTTATTGGCAGCCACTAAACTTGATTTTCTTGATTTATGTTAAACCACCGGAACTCTTAAATTTGTGAGTAGGAGGCAGCTAATAGTCCTCTTCAAAGCAGCAGGTTGCATAAACAGCTTTACCCCCCTCCTCTATCTTTGTTTTGATTCCAAAATCCCAACACAGTCAAATTCTGCCACTTCGGCACAAAATACTTAGACTTACCAAGGTAAGACTACACAAAGGGAGTTGATACTCCAAAAGAGGGGCAAAGGGACTTGTACCCTCTTTACGTTATCATACGTTTATTAATTTCATGCTGCAACTAAATGAGTGAAATTTAAAATTAGCACAAACAGGGAGCAAGAGAAAACATTTCTTGGAGATGATTCTTTTACAGTCTGGTAGAGCTATTGTGAACAGTTAGATTAGGGTTGGTTTCGGGTTTTTTGGGGGGAGGTGGCTGGTTGTGGTTTGTGGGTTTTGTTGCTGTTTTGGTGGGGTTTTTTTAAGTAAGGAATGAGGAAATGCAGAATTCTGACCTTTACGACATAAGCACATTTAGTCCTCAGCACTGGCTACAAATTGCCTATTCCAGCCAAGAAGTGTTGAGCAGAATGGGAAGGAAAAAATAGAACAGACAAGACAGTAATGGAGGATATGAGTAAGGTACAGCACTAGAGCATATGCACAGAAATCAGTCGCTACTTCACCCTGTGTACAAGATTTCAGTTTTATAAAACCGGTTTACTATTGCAATAAATCATTCTAAACTTTGACTCCAATAATACAGGAATTGAAGTTTAGTTTTATTCAGGATGCTCTCCTATTTATCATTCATTCTACGAGTCCAACACACAGAAGTGTTTAACAACTGAAAATGCCCAGTAAACACACCCTAAATTGCTGTATTTGTTTCCCTCGTTTCTCTTCACTACAAAGCCAGGCAACATCAGAGACGACAACAGCTTCATCATGAAGGCAAAAAAAGAAATCCCAAAAGAATAATTTCCATCAACAATTTACTTGAAATAACTCAAGCAAAGTGCTTGCATCTGACCTTTCAGAGACGTTTTCCTTTGTCATCCTACTGCTTTCCAGAATGTTGCCACATACAGATGGGACCAATCACTAGTTGTTCCCTCAACCTGCCCTCTCACTTGTAAGCCTTAAAGGATTCCTCATCCAGCAGACAAGCTGGGTTCATTCTGCCTCCCCGCTTACTACACCCCAACCAGGCTTCCCTCCCTCCTTCTAGGATAGGGAGACCCTCAGTTGATTTTTGAGCAGCTCAATTATCCAGCTAATAAATCCTTAGCATGCAGCAGACAACCAGAAGCAGATGGCTATACTAAGACAACCGTATTCAACTAAGCAGAGAGGGGAAAAAAAATATATATATAGTTTTAGGTTAAGCAAACCAATATGAAACTCGGATAATCTTATTTAGAACCTTTGGATTAGGCTGCTAGTTTTGGTATTTGTGAGCACAATCTTGATACAAGATTTTGTTAAATTAGGGTATCGGTCTGAATTCTATACCAAGAAACCAGAAGGAAAAAAAAGGACAAGCTTTGTTCAGAAAAGTACTGATTTTATTGACTCAAACTGTATTTACACAACACATTCATATGTTCAATATCTTACAGAACTCTGTAAAAAACTGACTAATAAAACTGCAGGAGCCAAACTGTGTTTCAGACTTTAAGACACTGAACCATAAGTACATTTTAAGATATTTAAGTGGGTGTCCAGTTTCACTGTCAACTTACATGGCAGTTCTCTGTAAACAACCTCTTTTTAAAATCAAAATGAAAGGTGGAAGGGAAAAGGGTCAAATGAAAGAGGGGACAGTTTTGCAAAGCTAGTACTTTGTAAGACCAGACTTTTGGCTAAGCATTGAACAATGCATTTTCTATGATTCTGTTTTTGGAGACAGGTCACATACAGGTATTCTTTAGATGAATAATCAAAACAACTTCAATTTTTTTTTAAGCTTACATACCTTTTTTTTTTTTTTTTTTAAAAAGAGACCAGTGCTAGAAAGTTTGTGCATGAATCTGAACTGTTCCAAAGTTTGAGAGGCTCAGTTCTGGCATTCCACTGCAGCTCAAATCCAATGTATATTTCTTCAGGTGACAAATGAAAGATGATCACCTTTTACCAGTGAACTGATGATATCACATATGTAAATTGGGAGCAGAATATCCTTATTTCATCATAAGAGATCACTCTTCCACCCATCCCTCAATACAGTTTGGTTGAATAAATATTTTTTTTTTTTTTTGAAGTACAAACTAGGTGAGTTTGTTTCTCCTCCAGAATGCAAGTCAACATCACCACACACTTTGTAGTTAAAATGGCATCCCTCCTCTGATCTGCCTAGCAACCTGTTCATCCGTCGTCTCCTCTTTCTCTTTTTCACGCTCTTTGTTCCAGTCTTTAAGGCCTTCTGGTAGTGAAGTATCCTCATCCAAACTTCCTGTACCTTCAACAAATTCTTCATAAGTAGACTTTTCTGCAAATGGTCTTGGGCCAAGCAAGTCTAGCATATCACTTTTATCGAGCACTTCCTTCTCCAGTAGTCGTAGGGCAACCTGGAATAGCAGTAAGTTATGTCACACACAAAATACCTAAGCTGGCTCTCTTACTTGGAAGAGTTTAAGGCAGTTTGGGACCAAATTCAGCACTAATTAATTTTGACAGAAAAAACAGGTTGCTCAGAGTTCACTTCATACAAGATTTTTGCTACCTGAATGCGCACAAGAGAGAAAAATACCATTTCTTTAATCCTATTTTTAAGATTTGGCAAAGTGCCGTCCCTGTGGGCTGCTGTTGGTGGTGGTGTTGCTTCAGAACAGCAGGGAGTGACTGCTGCCGAAAGGCTCCTGATGCAAGACGTTAAGCCATAGACGCAAACAAGAGTTCCCTTCCTGTCAAACCTCATCGTTCAATAGGGCTGCTGTTACATTACAATCTAAAGAGCACCATAAAATTACAATGTGTACAACACTGTCCAAGTGTAGTTTGTGACCTCCTTGGGTCAGCGAGCACAAACCATATTCAGTGATCTTTTTTGGGATGTTGAATCGTTTCCACCATTTATCGAATCCATACAAACTTGTCTTCTTGTCAGTAAGCCTATCCTGGAAAAATCATCCTTTTGCTGCATCAGGCTTTCAGGCATGGAGGAAGAGAATATGCACAAGGGTAATCTCAGCTGCAGTGAGGCAGACCACAAGCAGCCAGGGAAGGAACATAGTAGAAAGATTCTTTTTATTTGAAGTTCAACAGGAATTCAGAGAAAGGAATTGATACGTACTTCCCTTCTGAGCGCACTTCTTTTAAGCCTAATGATTAGTAGAAAGACTCTTCCCTCCAACTCTGAAAATGAATATTGACCATATAAGGGGGGAGGGATGTTAAGTCATGTTCATGAGAACCTCAGAGGTGTTCCAACACAAGAGGAGATTTCTATTTACTTAAGTCTTGTGACACACTCTCAAGATTATATTGGATAGTTTTTGAGCAAACTTCCTCATATACTTATATAGTGTCTATAGACACTATTTTTAATCTATTCAGTTCAATTCAGATTTCAGCTTACCAGCTGGAACTTGGCAGCTAAAAATACTGTAAAGCTCACCTTCTCCACTTCTGCTTTCTTCTCAGTCAGAAGACTTAATGTCCTGTCATATGCAATGTTAATTAGCGACCGCACTTCTTCGTCTATCAATCTGGCAGTTGCCTCACTGTAAGGTTTTTCTAATACCATGTCTCCTTGACGAGGGAGGTCAAAGGAAATCTGCCCTACTTTTTCATTCATACCGAACTGAACAATCTGAAGAAAAAAAAAAAAAAGGAAAAAAAAAATATCAAAGGACAGAGCATGATTTTAGGGTATGTTGATGTAAATCTGGTAAACAAAACAAAGGAGAAAGCCGTTTTGCTATGACCCAATCTTCTCCTCCAAAACCAACCCTCCCCTGAAAAACTACCTAAACTACCTTAGTTGACTTTCACTCATTCTTTAATTATTAAATTGAAGTACCCAAATGCCATCATCTAAAGGTAGTTACCTGTACATAATGCTTTGCTGTTTAAGTAGTAAGGTATCACAGAAAACACAATTTATCCTTCATTATGCAGTAAAACTCTTTTCTCTTACCAGAAATATAAGCATTTTTCCAATTCAAAATGCTTTTAATATATAGCATATTCCACTCACCCATATAGATAAGTTAACTTCAGGATTAAAGTAGAGGGTCTTGAAGATTTTGTCCTATCATATGTAAAAATCAGATGCTATACTTCATCCCAAGACAACCCCCACAAAGGTGAAAGTTACTCTTATCTTGACTCATTGCTGAATAGTAACTCCTCCGGTTGCCAAATATGGATATTGCATTTGGAAATATACAATATCCATATTAATATATATACACCTCCATATATATATCTCTCCATATAATATGCAATTTGCCAAATATGGATAATGCATATGGAAGTCGCACTTTACTCCAGCAGAGGCAGAAATAAGTTCAAACTGCTATTTATATATTCACTCCATGGCCACTATCAATTTAATGGTTACTAAAGCAGCACTTTGCTTGGCCTTGCAAGACGAATATAGGTGTGACAAAGAATATTCATAATTCAGAGAACTCAGCATTAGAACCAAGCATCTTAACCTGTTTCCTTGAGAAAAGTTCAGTACTTTTACTTAAGCCCCCAGATCTCTCTGGAGAAAATGTGTCTTGTTCACGTGAACAAAAGTCTATACTTAAAGATTATTTAATTTAAAATTGAACGAGAATCACTGAGGGTCCCATAAAATTAACGTTAACAGCATTTCATTACACACTTAGTTCCAGAACTGCATCAACAAGAAGCACCCCAGAGTCCAGCAAGTGGCTGTGGTTTGGGGTGGGGGTAAGCGTTGTGCAGGGGAAGAGAGGCATACCCTAAATGTGTCTCTTCTTCACCTTGTGAGTGTCTTACAAAATGACAGCTTCTGCGTTGATGCAGGAAATGGACTAAAGCACTCGTGTAGCACACAGCTACACTTAGGTGAGTCATCACATTGATAAGATTTCAAATTACTCATTCAGGCTAGTTAATATGATAAAAACACAAACTAATTTCAGTAGCCTTAATTGACAGCAAATATTACTTAAATACCAGGTTTCCTGGATTTAGTTATACTTGAGAATCCAAATTGTGTCTTCAAACTGGGCAATTGTAAAAGTAGGATCAGCTGATGAAATCTGTGCACTGAATTCCATTTTAAAAGTTTACAATTTCCACATTATTTGAATCCAATTGCGGCATATATGTTCCTGGGGGCAGATGTAGGATAGTAATCAAAGCCTAATGCATAGAATCCTGTTGTAAGACTATAATAAAATGCTTGAGTCATCAGCATCTCTATACAACAGCAGCATAACATTTAGTCATATAGTATTTCTTTTTAAACTAGGCTTCTGAAGCACATACCTGATTGAATCGCATCCTTTCAAAATATTAGTGTTAATTAGGATATAAGGAAAACTCTAAGGAAAAAAACAACCAACGTCTTAAGCACATACCTGAGCATATGCACTCTGGGTCACCTTCTTCAAGTCATCTTGGGCACCAGTTGTAATTCTTCCAAAGAAGATTTGCTCAGATACACGTCCTCCCAGAGTCATGCACATTCTGTCAAGTAGTTGCTCTTTGGTATAAAGATACTGTTCTTTGGGTAAATACTGAGCATAACCCAGTCCTTTACCACGTGGGATAATAGATACCTACAATTGAAATTAACAGAATGCTAGAACTAAAGAGGGTTTAAAAAAAACCCCATAAAACATTCTTTGGTTTGACTTAATTTTTAATACCACAACCTATACCATACTCACCCTTGAAGTTTAATTCGGACATTATTTCTGTTTACAGTTTTGCCCTCATTGTGATTTATCCTTAAAAGCCCTGGCTAGCTCTAAACTGGGATAATAACTACTAAAATATCTGGAAAAGGTAAGACCACTGTCATGTCTTTTCCAAAGATTGTATGGTATTTTTAAAGTCTTTAAATGAAAATCCATAATTGTTTTAGAGTTTTGTATTGGGCTTCAAGTATTTGTCCTGGTTTCGGCTGGGATAATAGCTGGTATCGTGCTGTGTTTTGGATTTCATATGGGAATAATGTTGATAACACACTGATGTTTTAGTTGTGGCCAAGCAGCTGCAGTGCTTATAGTCCGTCAAGGACTGTTCAGCTCCCCATACTCTGCCACAGCAGGTGCACGGGGAGCTGGGAGGGGGCACAGCTGGGACAGCTGACCCGGACTGGCCAAAGGGATATTCCCTGCCATACAACGTCATGCCCAGTACATAAACTGGAGTTGGCCGGGGAGCAGGAATCACTGCTCGGGGATGGGCTATTGATCACCAGGTGGTGACGCATTGTGCATCACTTGGTTTTGTATATTCCTTCATCATTATTATTATTATTTCCTCTTCCTTTGCTGTCCCATTAAACTGTTTTTATCTCAACCCAAGCAACCCAGGTTTTTGTTCCCAGATTCTCTCCTCCATCCCACCTGGCGACAGGGAGTGAGTGAGTGGCTGCATGGTGCTTAGTTGCCAGGTGGGGCTAAACCACAACTGTGTTCTGTAACAGACATAGCATTTCTGCATGTTTAGTATTCTGAATAGTTGTAGGAGTTTCCATGTTTACTAATGTCCTTCCTTCCAGCAGTAAATTGTACAAGATGAATTTTAAGCTTGAAATCAGACAAAATTAAGAACACAGCCAAGCAAAACTATGAATGTTAAAGCAAGTTTGAGAAATTGAGGTGCTTTTTCCTTTATCTTTGACTTGTCAAGCTGTGCATCCAAAAAGCAAATGAAAACTAAAAATCAGCCTCCAACTATAAAAATGATCATCTGTTTTCCTGAAGAGGCATCCACCTGCATAGCCTTATTATCTTACCATAGGTAAGATTAACTTAAACTTAAACTGTTGATCTGTACTAAGAGCCTCAGAGAAAAAGCAGCTATCAAGACAGGCAGACTCATGGGAAAATCAGGTCCCTTTCACTTTCCAGGGACATTTATAGTACAAACCTTGTAACAGCTAAGTCATAAACAGTTAAGAAAGCTACAAGAAGTGAATGAAAAAAGCACTCAAATTTACACACACCATCTTTTGCGAGATTAGTATCCTCTCAACATTGGGGGTGGGAGGGGTGAAGGAAAAAAAAAAAGATGCTGTCCATATTACAATTAAATTACTAGGTCAAATTACTTTCATTTACCTTTAAAAGTGGGTCAGCATGTTCCAAAAACCATCCTGCAACCGCATGCCCTGCCTCATGATATGCTACTGTCTTTTTCTCCTCTGGTTGCAGTACTTGAGTTTTCTTTTCCAAACCTTTATAAAATAAATTGGATTAATATTTCAGACATATCTGTCTCCACTGAAATCCCTTATCTCATTTAGAAAGACGGTGAGCAATACTTAGATGCCATGTATACAATCTATCAAAGAAGTTTAAAAAGAAACAAAAAACCAAACATGTTTTAGAAATTTGTATCTTCCAGGTTCTACTGTAACCTTGTCCTTGATTAGGTTTTCTAGTTTCAAAGTATAAGTTCTTGAGAATATTCAAATGTTGAAATAAAATGTTTGCACTTTAAATATCAAACAGTTTTCTAGACTATTCCAGGCTAACAGCAGTTAAAAGCATAGCTAAATCCAAACAGCTATTCCTCTTGCCATTTTGAAGAAATTAGAAAAGCATCCTGATGAAATTTCTCTCCCTACCCCTTTCTCTGTTACAGAAGTCAGCAATATAGACAGGATATTTCTTTTTCTTTCCTAAACACAGTTGAGATTTAGAAAACAAACCAAAAACCCAACAAAAAAAAAACCAAACCCTTGAAGACCAGGAGGAGGATTCAAAGCATGGATATATATAAAAATACAAGGAAGTTGACTGTCATATTACAATTTTGGAGAAACTACTGATGTGATTTACCTACCTCCAATAACTCTTTCAATTGCTTGCTCAAAATGCTTTTGGTTTATAGCATCTGAAAGATGCCTTGCAGCAATTAAAGCAGCTTCATTACAAACATTAGCAATATCAGCACCTAAGAGTAAAAAAGGCATGAATTACTAATTATTTTCAACAATTTTCTCTCAGTCTAGCATAAAGATAACGTTATCTCAAGAGTTTGAAAACTAAAGGTAATGCGCTCTGAAATAGTTCATTACACACACCGTAATTCTTTAAGAGATATTTAAATACACGTACTACGGTTATAGGCTTTAGGATTTTTCTCTTGGGTAGACAGCTACCAAGTAAAGCTTATTACCAGTGCAGTACTTGTTTGATATATCCTACCTTCCGTAAGTTTTCCATCTGCAACAGACTATATTTGGACTAGTACATATTTAGCAGAAAAAATTTCCAGTATATCTCAGACCTTGATGTATCTCTGGAGGATATCCTTTCACACTACTGGCTTCAAGATAACAACTTCTCGTTAACATTTACAGCAATTAGATTAATTTAGTAATTGAGATAACTTAGTTTAAACATCATCACTGCAGTTGCCAGAGATGTTGATAATCAGACATCAGAAAACTAGTTTTATAGAGACCAGAGAAACAGTAAAGAATTCAACTACTGGTCAACACAGATTTTAAATAGATTAAGTTACAAGCCAGTAATGAAAGTTCTCACATCTGTTCCTAATTCAACACAAGGTTGCAGTACATTTTCCAGAGAGAAGTTTTTACATCCAGAAACAGAAATCCCCCTACAGACTGTGCACACAAACTCCACAAAACCCAGGTCTTCTCTAGTAGTGTTCCAAGAATCCAACACACCTATTAAAAGGAAGAATACACACACAAGTGATAGCAATGAGAAATCTCTGGATTGCTTTTCCTGAAGACAGAAGAAACCGCCATTTGGTATGTCACCCCACTTGAGGCAGACAAAACTTAAGATTCTCAGAAATCTCCTACTTGCCCAAACAGGCAAAGAGAGTTTCATGCTGTACTGGTAAATAAAAGAGTGCTATCCAAAAGATTAGGTGCAAGAAAAACCAAGCAGTAGGGAAATAAAATATCTACAGCTTATACAGTAAACACAGAAGAATAGTGGCATTAGGAGTCACTTACCAGAAAAACCAGGTGTTAGTGATGCAAGTTTCCTTGCTAGGTTATCTTTATTTAAGATGGTGTCTAATTTCAGAGGTCTAAGGTGAACTTTGAAAATAGATGCTCTTCCTTTTATATCTGGGGGTCCTTTAAGATTAAAGAAGTATGCTTTTACTTTTCACACACACACACATATTTTTTCTAATTGAATATATGCAAGGAAATTACATATGTAAATAGCTGCAGTGATTTCAGTGGTATCCTACAAATGCAGAAATATACACAGACACAGATAAAACTTACCAATGTAAATCTGTCTGTCAAAGCGTCCTGGTCTCATCAGAGCAGGGTCTAAAATATCTGGCCTGTTAGTACCTGCCAAAATTACTACATTTGTGGTTGTATTAAATCCTATTGAAGAAATGTAATAAAGAGAAAATGGGTGTAAATTTAATTTCCATGGGGGAAAAAAAAAAAAAAAGAGAAATAAAAAGACTGTGCTTTATAGGGCCACATAAGAACTGACAGTTTAAACAAATGATCTTAAAGCTGAAAATACTTCCAGTTATTAGAGCATTGTCCAGCTTTTCATAACAAGCAAAAAAATGGCCTTGGGCTCTGCTTTGTGAGGTACTATATCAAATCCTGCTTTATCTTCAAAATGCAATAATAGATTAACTGCTCAGGAAATTGCAGAACCAGCATGGCTAGTTCTATTTTTTTTTTTTTTTTTAACAGACAGACTGGTCTCATGCAAAGAATTTTTTGCCTATTCAACTTTGACAAAGAGTTATCAGATGCAGAATGATGATTCTTTTTTCTGAATGAATTTTAGCAAAGCATCATAGTAAAACAGCAAAATAAGTCACCATTCTTCATTTTAGGAAGTAAGGAAACACGCTCAATTTATATGTAAGCCAGAACCCAAAAGTTCATTAGTTCTTTCTCTTATCCTTGCTATCATAATGTAACGTTAGAAGTTAAATACTTACCATCCATTTCTACTAGAAGCTGATTGAGTGTGTTCTCTTGTTCACTTTGTCCTCCAAAGTTGCCCCTTCCCCTCTTCCTTCCTACTGCATCTATTTCATCAATGAAGAGAATGCATGGGGCATTTTTACGAGCAAGAGCAAATAAGTCTCTAACCTTAAAAGGAGAAGAGAATATATATATATATATATATATATATATATGAGATTGGCTTGTAACTGTTCAGAGTTAGGGGCTGGGTAGGAGGGGAAGAGGTGTATCAGTAACAGTAGCACTATAATTGAGTATGGTTGTTAATAAGTGTTCCAAAACCTCCAGCCAGCTCTGAAGGCAATGGCAAGTTACACTGTCACTGGCGCGCAGCATTACTAATGTGGAGGCCCAGTAGTTGACAAATCTTTCTCAATCCATAACGTAGGAGCATTAAAACAACTTAAAAGCCTTAAGAAATAACCACTTTTTCTGAATAACTGAAACACATCTTCAACTTCAGCTCTAAAAGCCTCCAAACTTCAGAGAGTTAAAGCAAGATTTCTCTTGTAAGCTCTTCTTTAATGCACAGTATTACAAGCAGAATTGGAATGTGAATGGGCATGCTACCACACAATAGTTCTTCATACCAGGGAAATAAAATCTTTTAAGTTTTGCTGCAGTTAGAACAGGGTGATGTAGCTCCTACAGTGAACTTAAGGCTTACTTACAAGTGCTTACCAATGTACTCTAACAATATGCTGTTATAAATATTGACTCTTAGCCATCCCGTTTCTCCACTACATGGGCTAGAAAAACTGAATTCCTCTCTAAATACTTATTTGGAAGCTAAATTAACTTCTAGAAGTCTAGAAAAAATGGCGAAGACCTAAGCAAATGTTCAAAAAAAATTTCCACTCAGATAAATAAAGGTATTACCTATCAAATTCTACTATAGAAGTTACAGCACAATGTGATTGGCTTTAAGATGCAACATTACAATGTTACTCTGTTTGCAAATATATCTGAAGGACCTAATTAAAACCAGTTCAGTGAGTTAACAGTTCTATAACTGAGGAATCGAACTGGAGCAAACAGGAAACAAAAGATTATGGAAGAATTTTGACCTGACTGGGAATTCCACGCAGCTTTACAACTTTGTATATTAGAAATACAATTAGAGGAGGCTTCTCTGATGACAAATAATATCCAGCAAACGTGAAGAGATGTGAATTTTGGACAGTATGCTCTACTACAGAAAGTCACTTTGATTTGTAAACAGAATTTGAAAAAAGTACAATTAATAAAGAATGAAGGAACATGATAAACAAGGAAAAAGTGTCAGATGCTTAAAAATTAACTATCTTTTGGTTGGAAAGAGACAGAGATCCAGAAATATACAATTATGTTTCAGAAGAAACTGTATTAAAAATTAGCACAATGCATATACACTAAAAAAAAAAAGGACCTCCAAGGAACCAAGGCTGTGTAAGCAGTTTTAATTCTAGCATATCCTAATTTACAAATAATCAATTTAGCACCATTAAGAACTGTCTTGTTTCCTAAATTCATAGGAAATGAAACTAAAACACTCTCTCATGTTGTTTTCTACAGGCATCAGAAATTACCGACTATGTTGAAACCTGTTAATGTCAACAGATTTCACTCCATAGTAAAAGCTGATAATCATCTGCATAGAGCAGTAGGGAAAGGTTAAGTCACTTCACTTTGTGGCTTTTCAGGTAATTATTGACAGCTAATGACAATGTAGTTTGAGTATCATTATTATTTCCCAGGGGATATGGATCAGTTTCTTTTCTTACTGTTCCTCGGTAAAGTCCCTTCAACACTGCATGCTCCCTTTTTCAAGTCCCACTCATCTTATACATGATTGCTATCTCCACACCCTCTGGCTTTCGGTCAGTCACTTTTTTCAGTCACCGTCCATGTTTTTTTACCCTGTTAGCTATTTCTGCATCTATTTCCCCACTCTCTATACCCTCTCCACTCCATAGCGGCTTCTTTTGCCAGTTTCCCGACAGATTGCCAGCACTCCTCTGCGTCGTCGTTGAAGCCTCCACTCCCAACTAGCTTCAGCATTTAACTTTCCGAACAGCTCCTGCTATTCTCAGTTCCAAGCTCTGTGCCTACCTGCATGTACCCCTACCCCGCTTCCCTTTTCTCTTCTCAGAAGACCCAAAATTACCTGGCTTCACTGATCTTTTCCCACCTGTATTACTGGAAGAAGTCCAGCAAAAGACCATCAAAAGAGACCTAGGCTGAGAGGCATATGCACGCACAGCTGTGACAAACTAAGGACCAAACCTTGGAAAGTTTATCTGCTAGCCTCTAGCACATGTTATAACTGCAGTCTTTCACGGCTTTGAAGAACTTAGACAAAATGAGTTTCACTGTGAATTTTTGCAAGGCAGAAAACTGCCTGTGTAATCTGGTACAAGCCATTCCCTGTCAAATTTCAAATTCAGATCAAGACCCTAAAGCATTTCCATTTCATGCTAGCAGAATTAGTTTTTAAAATTAGGTAAAAACACCATGATACACTTCCTTAAGTCTGTTCGCAGAAATTGTGGCAAACAAATCTTAAATTTTCCAAAAACGAATCAGCTCGAAGTACACTTTTTAAGGCTTCAGATGGTTGGCCTTTGGTGAAGGTATGAGCTGTTGGAAAAAACGGGGTATAATTTTGGACATTAAGAGAAACCTTATTTTCTGGTGTTACCCGCCTCATTTGTGAAATATTATCAGTAACTTGTTTATAGAAAGTTTTTCAGCAGATTTAAGTGTCCCTCCTTCCTAGACAGGAGAAGATAGATTTAAAACAGTGTTTTAAATGTGGTTGTAATAAAAAGTTAAAGAAAAACACGTGTACTGGAACAGAGTTAACTCCCTCCACTTGAAATAGCTCATGAAAAACATATTAAGAGAATCAAAGCAAAAAGCATAAAGAAATGTTAGACATATATTTGGTTATTTAAATCACCTGATCTCCAGAAATCAGTCATTAGCTCCATGACCCTCGGGCTCCTATTTCAACCAGAAGCTCATTTGTGTGTCCCACACAACTACTTATATCTAAGAGTTTGACACTACAAAGAGAGTAAAGCTCCTCAAAGAAATAGAAACAATTTAGAGTAAGAGACATTCCCGTAGCAGTAGTCAAATTGGCTACATATTTCTGACCCAGGTAGTAAATTTACTTCAGAGCAGAGCTTGGAGAGTTCTGCTTTGTTTTCTTAAGTTCCTGCAAAGGGGTAAACCCTTAAGGTCCTGATGGCCTGCAACCAGATACTGAACTGCATTGGTTCCTTTTATGAAAGGAACATCTATGATTCTTGTGTTCAGACAGGCATCTGGCATCACTTCTAAGTAATGGGCATTGATTAGAGCTGAAGTTCTCATGTAACTGTTTGTGTCTCAAACTTGAGAACGTCCTTTCAACAATGAATACTGAAATAAAAGAGCAAGGCCAAAGACTTACTCGAGCTGGACCCACACCAACAAACATCTCTAAGAACTCCGAGCCGTTGACTGTGATAAATGGTACATTAGCTTCTCCAGCTGTAGCTTTAGCTAGAAGTGTTTTCCCAGTACCTGGAGGACCTGTCAGAATTGCTCCCTGCAAGAGAAACAGGTATATTTTCCTCATGAGGAAAACATAAGCCTATGAAATATCTTACTTAAAAGATCTACAGGTTATGATGTTGAGTCCACTGACTCTTCTTCCACCACAGTCAAAACCGTGCAAGGAAACAAACTGAAGATTAATCTCTCATTTAAACCAGCTAACGAAAAAAAAGTAGTTATAATATTGCCATGCTCTCTTAGATTTACAAGAATAGTGTTTTCTTTGACTGACATATTAAAAAATTAAAAAAAGGTATGTCATCAGGTGGGCTCCCATGACAGCATAGCCAAAAGGCAATTCTATAACAATTGTATACAAGAACGATGGTACACATGCATGCTATGTATCATTTCAGCCTGACCCCCGTACTGGGGAAGATCAT